CGCCGTAACCACCGTAGCTGTTGTAACCGCCGCCGCCGCCCTTAGACAGGCCGTTCTGGTCTCGACCACCGCCGCGACCCCGGCCGCCTCGGCCTCCCCGGGAGGACCGGGAGCCGCCTCCGCCCCCACCGGAATGGATATCCTCCTTGGGGACGGCCTTCTTCACCTCCACGCGATGGCCCTGGATCGGATGGAACTTGACAACCGCGGCCTTGTCTGCCGCGTCGTGATTCTGAAAATACACGAAGCCGAAGCCACGCTTCTTGCCGGACTGTTTGTCGGCAATAATCTCGGCCTTTTCCACGGTGCCAAACTGCGAGAAATGCTCGATCAGGTCGCCCTCGGCCACGTCTCCCTTAAGGCCCCCGACAAAGAGCTTCTTAACCTTGGCGTGGGCACCGGGCCGCGCCGAATCCTCCCGGGACACCGCCCGCTTCAGCTCCACCGTGTTGCCGTCCACGGCATGGGGCGAGGCGGCCATGGCGGCATCGGCCTCCTCCACATTGGAGTAGGTCACGAAGCCGAAGCAACGGGAGCGCTTGGTCTGGGGGTTCACCACCACCACGCAGTCCGTCAGAGTCCCAAAGGCCTCAAAGTGGCCGCGCAGGCCCGACTCACTCGTCTGCACATTGAGGCCGCCGATGAACAGCTTACACAACTGGGAATTCTCCATCTCCACGGCCCGGGCCTTCCCCCCGCCCTGCGAGCTCCGAGGTTTCGCCGTCGCCGTTATCGTTGGCTAAGGCCTCCTCACAGCTTGGGCCCAGCTGTTGCTGGAGCCGCCACCGCCGGTCACCGACGGGGAAGGGAAAAAGGGAAGGGGAGGGAAGGAGGAAAAGAGGAAGGGGGAGGGAGGGGAGAGGTGCCGGCTAGACGGCGAGCCGAGGAGGCTGGAAGACAACCAGGGCTGCCGCTACCGCTACCGCCACCGCCACCTCCGCTCCCCTATCTGGGCACCACACAAAGAGGCCGCTGAACGCGCGCGCACCCTCCCCGAAGCGTGCGTCACCGCCGACGTACGGCAGCCTAGCACTGCCCGCCAATCCCTTCGTGGCTCCCTCTAGTCCCGCCTACCGCTCCGCAGCGCCGCTCTCGGTCACGGACTCCCCGCCCTCCGCGGTCGATTCAAGCCCTCGGCCTGCGCTGCTCCCGCCACCGCCTCTACAGTCCCGCTCTCACTCCCTGGCTCCCCCGTGTGCCCTGACCGGGGACTCTCCCGGCTCCCCGCGCACCTCCGCAATTCATTTCCTCCCAGCCCCGCGGCTGTTCCCAGTGTTTTTCCCCCCTCCCCTAGCCGTATCCCCTCGCCCAACTCCGCAGTGGCGTTCGCGCCAGCCCCTTGAGAGACATGTCAGTTCAGCCAATGATCGCGATCCGCTCGCGCCCACTTCCGTTTTCGGCCGCGGCTGGACGGGCGCGCTCCCCAGTGCGCGTTGGCCCCGGCGCCCCCTGTGTGGGGGACCTGTCTGCCACCCGACGCCTTGCCCCCGCCCTGGGCTTGGGAGTGGGGGTGAGCGGGGCGCGCTGCGGGTCGTTCCCAACGGATGCGTCCTGGGGCGCCACGCGCGGGCTTTTTGAAAACTTGACTGTTGGGGTTGGGGGCTTGGATTTACCCGCCGCGTTTCGACCGGGCCGCTACACCTGGCATCCTCGCCGCCCCGCCCCCCTGTCCGCACAAAGATGGAGGGTAGAGGGAAAGGCGGTTATTAACCGTTCACTGACGCACCGACGTGCAGTTAAACACTGGCACGTGGCCCGTCGCAAAAGCGAGCCCGGGGCCAGGTGAAGGACAGCGACGTGCTAGAAGCGCTTGCGATTCCTGATCGCGGCGTCGCGCGAGACCCCCCGCCACCCTGCGGCCGGCCTTGAAGCCCTTCCCGACGCCCTGCTCTGCCTCCCTTAGCGTACTCCCACAGCTGACATTTTCATTTTACTTCAGGAACACATCGTTTTATGCTTCTGTGACCTATGCGATGCTTCCTTCCCAACAAAAACGTTAGCTTTTTGAAGGTATTTTACAACCGGGTGTCGGAGGATACCATACATAAATATCGCGCACCCCTGGGAACTACCTTACCTACCCTCAGGTGAAAATGCAAGCAAATTACCAAGGCTTCCATGTATCGAACCTTTGTGTCAAGCAAGATACAAGGAATGGGACATAGTATGAGACATTACATGACCAAGAGCCCCCAAAACCATGTGGTACTTCCTGAAGAAAAGGAATTCCTCACTGCAACCTGGAGTATTCAAGATTGAATGGTGTGAAAAGCGGAACTTGCGCTCCATCTCTGATTCAAAGGCTAGATAAAATTTCTACAGGGACTTTACATGAGCAAAATAAAGAGGAAAGGAAAACTATATAAGGTTCAAGGTACAATAGGTAGTTTGAAGCAAGAGGTTTTTGATAGAAAACCGTCTTTGGTAAGATAGGTTTAGAGTCCTTGATATTATGGAATGCCTTGAAATTTAGATTAAGTAGCTTAAATATTATTGCAAAGGCATATAGGTAAGCTTGAAGGCTTGAGAACAAAACGAGTCTGGCACTAGATATTGGGCAAGTCACTTAACCTTTTTAAAAAATGTAACCAGTTTTATTATCTGAAAATCAAAACAATAAAACACTCCCCTGTGTGGTAAAAATTAAATGAGATTCCATATGCAAACTCACAGTGCCTAGTACATAGTAAATGCTCAATTTATCTAACAAATATACCAGATGCTGGGAATATGGATGGCAGTCAACAGAGCCCTCACAAGAGCTTACATTCTACTGGAGAAAAGCAGACAATAAAAAAGGTAGCGGTAAAGCCTCAGACTCTTGATTTCAGGTCAGCATCTCATGGTTCAGAAGTTGGAGCCCCGCAGAGCATGCTTGGGATTCATTCTCTCTCTCCCTCTCTCTCTCTCTCTCTCTCTCTCTCTCTCTGCCCCTCCCCCAATCGCACATGCTCATTCCCTCTCTCTCAAAATAAGTAAATTAAAGGAAAAAAGAATGATATATAGCCTGTTAGGTGATCAGTGTGCTCCTGATTAAGAGGAGGACAGTAGGAAGCTATTACATATTTGTCACAAAAAAAAAAAAAAAAAAAAAAAAACAATTCCGGTATGTCAGGATTTGCTAACTGACTGATGATAAAGAATGAGGAAAACAAAAGCATTCCTGTGTTTGGAATCTGGAACAACTAAAATTGCAGCCTGACAAACTAAGAAAGGAAAGTGTTCTAGAGGGAGTAGGGAGATGATGAACTGAGTTGTTAATGTTTAAGGTGATATGGGATATTTATAGGGCACTGTTTTCTGGGCTGCCCAAGACTACAGCTCATATGAAAGATTAGACCTTTAGAAATAAATTTTAGAGTCACACACACACACACACACACAAAGTTACAACAGTAAAAGATGAATTTCTGAAGGAAAGAGAATAAGATCATAACTTATTTTCCCATCTAAACTGTAAACTCCAAGTAACAGGTCTGTCCTACATTGTTTCAAAAAATAATCCTCCATACCACCTAATTAGGAATCCACTAAGGGGTTAATTTCTCTTGAAGAGGAAAGCTTCAGAGAAGCTTTTGTCTGGTTAAAAACCTTACTCACAGAAGGGACTTACGGGATGATGGGAGGCAACACAATCCTGTTTGAGAGACATTATGAAGCCAGGATAAGTGCAAGGTAATTGGGATGTTACACTCTTTTTGGAGAGTAGATTGGTAAAGTTGGGGATGAATAAGCAGTGTTATACAAACACTTAAATGATGTAGTCAATCCCTACCCCTCAGATCATTCAAGAAAGAAAAATTTTTTTTCTTTTACCTTTCAGGTAATTGCCTGAGTTTGTTTCTTGGCTTTACCTTGCTTACCAGTGCCTTAGCCTTCAAAAACAAAACAAAAATTAAAAATCTAACTGAAGTTTAGGGGCACCTGAGTGGCTCAGTCAATTAAGCATCCAACTTCTTGATTTAGACTCAAGTCATAATCTCACAGTTAGTGAGTTTGAGCCCCTTGTCGAGCTCTGCATTGACAGCGTGGGATTCTGT